GGGCTTGCACTGCTGTCATTTTGTGCTGAATTGTTCTCGCTGACAAGGCTGTGAAGGTAGGCAGGGCCTTGACCATAGCACAGAGGACCACTTTTAACTGATGGGTGCACAACACCTTGGTTTTGGAGGTGTTGATGTTTAGAGCTGTTTGCCTGTTTCCTGGAAAAGGTTTCATTTTCCTCCTGCAGACTGCAGACAAACTGTTCTCTTTAACAGAAAAGTGTATTTCAAATTCATATTTCAAATTTAATGAATTCTTAAAGTTAAATTTACGCCTTTGAGAAGCTGACAAGATGATGCTGCTTAGCATGCACAAATATGCATTAACCTGAGTGACACATGCATTTGTCTACGCTAACAGATCCTGTTCCGATCCGATACAGATACCTTAGCTCTAAATATTTGCAGATACGGAGCACTGATCCGTTACCAGTTTTAAACAAGAAGCACTCTGAGAGCACAAGTCTCCACCAAAAGAAATATATACTTATTCAGGAACACTGAACATGTATTCAAATTGCTGAATGAAATGCAAACAGGCAAATGCTACCAAAAACCCAACTTCGGTGGTGGAGGTGTTTGAGATGCTGTATTCCTCACTCTGAAGACAGGGTTGAGCTGTTCCTTCCTGTATAAGGAACTCAGGCTCGATTTAAATATTATTTACTTTCTAGATACAAAATGCAATATAGCAAATAAATGCATCCAGGTAGTGCTGGGCGATATGATGATATATATCGTATGGACGATAGAAAAGTGTCTATCGTGCCATTTGTCTTCTATCGTTTCTAACCCAAATTACATAAATTATTACATAAAATATATAATTAACCCTTTACAACCGGTCGGAGCAGGCACACTCCGTTTTACCTAACTATTTTTAAATCCTTGTAGAACTGGAACCACGTAAGGTAGCGCAATCATTTTTTTTTGCATGTGAAACCGGAGGAGTTGTACTTACAGTACATCTAATGCCATTAGCCCTGAATGCCCTAGGTCACGGTTTCCTTCCACATATAGCTTTGCAAAAACTGCTTAAGAAGCACTTGCAGCAACAAAAAGATAATATTCCAGAAACACGCTTTGCCTATGTTCAATAACACTTCCTACGTTGGCATATACGTCAGTGCGAACTATCGCATGTCCGCCATTACCTGCCCGAAGCCGGAAGTGACGTCATTTTCGCGAAAGGGCCTTATAAGCCTATGTTGGTGTTTTTAAAAGTCATGTTTGACTTTATGCTTTTCTGTATCGTTTCTGGGATGCTTAGAACTCAAATTACACTGTTGGAAATAGTTTATTTTAATGAATTATAATATTTATTTTCATTTTTCCTGTATTATATAAAAATTAGTGTATCTCAAAAATAAAACTATGAAGACACTCAAAATAAATTTCTCGTGGTTGGAAATTATTTTGTGCAACCTTTTTGTATTTACAGTTTTGAGGGATAAGCCTCTTAAATTTTTCTAACTAGAAATATATGCAAAAAACAAACTATTTTCAATTTTTTTGTAGTTTATTGCACTACAATTTTTTGCAATTTATGTAGTTACTATGGACTTAATGCATACATATTATTAAAATTTCGGCTATAACGGTTGTATTGATATATGGAAACTTGAAATGCTCCCACAAATGGCACTACAGCATGTAAAAGCATAAAGATAAGCTCTGGCGGCCTTGGTTCTATGGTAGGTCTTAAAGGGTTAAATAGCCTGTGGCAAATATATTAGTGTTGTCTTATCACTGTACATGCTCTTAACTTTATGCAAGAGAAAATAAAGTATAAAAAATTATATTTTTCAAAAAGAAATTCCGTCTTGTGGTTTGCGACCTGGTGCTGCTGTACGTGCACCCGAATTTGCGACATACTTTACGGTAACTCAAAACAAAGACTGCACCCTCGACACTTGCTGTTTACAGACTGCATACTTTCTAGATGACCACAGGTCAGGTGGTATATCGTGATACATATCATTATCGTGATATAAAATAATTCGTATCGTGATAAAAAATTTTTCCATATCGCCCAGCACTACATCCAGGAATCTGTATGATACTGCAATACTGTACTCTCAGGCTAATAAAGCCCATTTTGATCTGGATGGGCTCATTCACTGTACCTCAGAGGAAACTTTAACATTGTAAAATCCAATATGTTGTAAAATAAAACGGCTTCATACATTTTTTTTTTAAAAGAGGTTTTAGACCCAGTTTATTAATCGACATTTCCTTCATCTGCTTCATTTGAAAACTCGTGATGTTAGAGTTAAATCCCGAATCTCACACTCATTTCCCATGATTTGTGCATTAACTGGCCACTTTATTAGGTACATCTGTTGAAGTGCTTTCTAATGCAGATATCGACTCACGGTCCAGCACAGGCCAACACCTCAGTACGTTTAGAAACAGTAGAGACGAGCTGTTGAAGTTCAAGCCGAGCATCGGAACGGGGAAGAGAGGCAATTTAAACGACTTTGGACGTGGCACGATTGCAGGTGCAATATCAACTTTCACGGATGATCAGAAATCTTTTGCTCCTTTTGTAACCGAGCAGCAGTGTTGCGAGGGCGTGTGCGTGTGTGAGTTTATTATCTCATCAGCTCGTTCGCTAAAATCAGCCCCTATAAACCAGAAACGGGCGGCTGTCTCTCTGGCTGCAGTTCAGCTGTGCAAACTTTCATTTCGCCGATAAAATAGGACAGTAAAAACTTTAATGCTCTTTGCTAAATATATAAAGTATAATATGAGCAAAACAGTCAAGTCTGCAGGTCGTTTACACTTTCTACATATAAAAATAAAACTCATCGCAGATGAAGTTGTGTAGGCGCGCTGCTGTGTGTGACATTGTTTATAACCCTTGTCTGTAACCTTCCACATCATCCAAGCGGTGTCCTTATTACCCAGCATGGTGCATTTCCTGTGTTAGCAGTGATAGGCCTCGGGATGAGCTTCACGGTGTGTTTCATGTCCTTACTTGAATGCATGGGCCTCCTTGAGGAGGAGCAGGAACAGATGCTTCTGACAGAACAAACAATATCACACAGTATTTATGCACAGAGTTGATACTATCACAGTACGGTGGGAGTAAGTAGTAGTCTGTCAGAGTATGCTCACAGGCAAAACATTAATAATTCTTCTAATGAAGTGTGTAGTTTTTTCATGTATTTGTGCATTGCATATCTGTGTAGCACTAATGTATACTTAACAGTATACAGACCATCTTAAAAACCAACAAGTGAAACTGAGACAGGAATTCTGCGTTCACTGTCAGTTTCCTAAACGACCTCTGGTGCAAGAACTGCCGACAGCTTCGATTTTAAATTCCTGCAGAATAATCTGAGACCCTGCAGCTAATCCTCCTGCATCGACCTTTGAGTGATGACACATTCTTTACTAAGTATTTACTATCACGGCCCGTTGTCTCCATCTCGTCGGTTTTGAGAGAGAAGCTGTGAGAACCCGCTCACATCTTTGTGCTGGAAACTCTTATGCATCTAAGAGTCAACGGTGTGTCAAGGTTTCGTTTCATTTGTGTGCTGTGATGACATTTTTGCACCGCTCACTTGGCTGCCACTTGAGAATGTTAACGGAAAACTTCTGTTGAGCCAAGCGGAGACAGACGCGCTGTGCTGGTAAGCTGGCGACTGAAAGTGATGCTGTAGGAAGTGATTGTGCTCCTTGCTTCCTGTCCGTGTTTTTAGCACTTTGGTGCTGCAGAGGAAATGTAGAACGAGGTTGGTGGAGGCTGAATACATAAAGCAGCGATTTTCATTGTGGAGCCTTTCATCAGGGGATGCAGCCAGACTGCACAGGTTTCACTGGTGAACAGCTGCGGGCACAGGGAAATGCTTATCAGTGGTTACGTGATGGTAAGTAACAGAAAAGAAGCCAGCATGTGTCATGCATCCAGCATGCAGATGTTGACGTTTCAAGCTATTTACTTAGTGTTGTTTGTTTTTGGTGTGCGTGTGTTTGTGTGATAAATGATCAACGATCGCGTGATAATCCCGCCGGACTTGATGAGAAGTTTTTCTGGCCGTGGCGTTAAAACGTCCGTACATTGTTGTGAGTGCTGTTCAAAGGAAGTAGCCTGACAAAACTCAATCACTGCACTTTCCACTTACTGTTCCTGCATGTTTATTCTTTATTTACTCAGCTTAACTTTTTGCAGCTGCTGATCTTTATACAATGACCAAAGTAAGTTGTCTCCTCTTTAGGTTTCACCACACAGTTAGCTGTTTTTTCTGCATGTCCACAAAAATTACGAGAAACTGAAAAATGGGCTTTTGCTGATTCACTCACGGTGCTGCTGTCAATTGTCAGAGAGAAAAGGAGAGATGCATTTTATTCATGTTTACACAAATGCAGCGCTGACATGAAAAGTCCCCACATCAACTCGCTGCTCCGGTGCTTTTTTTTCTCTCTCATTGTGCTGGCGCTTGCTTGTAGTGTTCAGGAAGCGGTTTGCCTTGATGGAGGATGGTAGAAAAACCCGTTAACAGCTCACAATTCAAGTGGATCTCCAAGACTATGACTCATGCAGTTCAGTTAAACATTGAAACCGTGACCTCTCATTCTTGCTCTTGATTCTCTCTTAAGTGAAAATATGCAAGTTGGTGAAAGAAGTGAAGCGGTCATGAACAAAATATTGATTTCATATTTGTTCACAACAGACGAAAGAAAGTAGACTCAAACGGTGGTTCGGTGCCTTGTTAACTGGGAGCTTGTTCTGGGGTCTGTTTAACTAGGACACCAGAATGCAGCTCTGTGCACTTTGCTGTGGTGTGTCAGACCAGCACTTCTTTTAAATGTCAGTGTGTCCCAATAGACTCTGCAATGTAGAGCTTTTACAACTTTAAAGTCCAGAGTCGGCTTGAATAACAAGCATCAAACAACTTTCACGTTTTATTTACTGGTGTATTAAAGTTCCAGATGATAAAAAGTTTATAGCTGGCATTTTGTGGCTCAGCTTTTCCCTCCGTCTCTTCTTCCAGGACGTTCACTGCCGCTGAAAGGATGATAACGATCGTGGGAGGAGGCCACGGCCGGAGGTGCAGCCCTCGCTAGAATCCTACTTCTCTTCCAGTTCACCCCTTTACCATCGCCCAGTGTTGCTGTCCACCCCACCCCAACCCGGCACCATGGCCAACCACCTGGAGCTGATCCAAGAGCTGCAGCAGCTGGACAAGGTGCCCAGTCTGGAGAGACTGCGGGCGGCCCAGAAGCGGCGCACCCAGCAGCTGAAGAGATGGGCTGTGTATGAGAAGGAGATGCAAAACAAGAAGCGAAAGGCCGACAAGAAGGGACGCATTGCCAACAGCCTCCAGCAATCAGAGCCCAAGAAACACGTGTCGTTTGCCGCCAGCGTGGCCCTCCTGGAGGCTTCGGCCAGGAATGATCCAGATGAAGGTAAGACCAGTACAGCATATTAATGATACGTGCAGATCAGAAAATAAAAGGGTGGCTTATTTATTTCTGCTTGCCTAATTACAACTAGTTTGGATTCATTACATCAAGTATCCTAAATATTTTGATTTAGCGATGAAATAAAGGTATTATTTATGGATGTGGGGCAGGGTGAGTAGAGCTGGGGTTATTTCTTTGTTGCTTGCGAGACGACAGGAGGATGAACAGGCTGCACAGAGGCCGGCGTTGCCCTTTTAATTTATTTGTTGAACTTTAGTATTCCTTGTTTCAAAAATAAATAGTTTAAATAAAGTTTTGCTCAACTGAACTCAGACTTACCCTCGAAACCGCGTTTGAATAATGACGCTAATTTCGGCCTCACCACACTACTTCCCCAGGATATCAAAATGCCAAGGTCAGGAAAACGATTAGCTTGGCCTGCCCACTTAAACCGCCAGTGGAAGTCACTCCATTCCAATTGAATTTGTTCTGCTAGGAGACTGTTTTATCATTGAGAAATAATGGAGTTGTCACACTGAGATGAAACTCTGCCAGTCTTTTAATTAAAATTTCTACGGATGGGGCCCCCCTATTTGGAGATAATAATTGTTTTCCTCCAGTACCGGCAGCCCCGTGTTGCTGTGGCTGTGCTAACAGTGTGTCGGCGATGCAGGGATGATAACAGGCTGCTATCGCTTAGATTTTGCGTCTAATTTAACGTCAGTGTAACTTGAAATTGGATTGAAGTTTGTTTTATTTATTTGTTTTTTTTTAATCGTCACAAATGCAGCCCACAGCAGTGCTACTGTATATTCTTTGCTCATGCAAGCTGTCTTCACAGATAGGACATCCCTCTCAAGGCTGATGTATTTTCACAATAATTTTTACAAGGCTGAAGCTACTCTGCTGTGCCTGTACACACACGTGGACTGTTCACTGGCACGTCTAAGCTCCAGCTGGAGTGTGAGACACTAGAAGTCTTGTGATGTCTACAGGGGTCTGCTGGATTTTATCACGGCGTGTAGCCGAAATTAAACTTTGGTGTAAGCAAAAGGAAGTTACTTAATTGGGTAAAACTGAAAAAGAAAATCTTTGATGTTTTTGTTGCTGGTTTCATTGTTGTGCGTGATGTGAGAAATGGTTTGAGCATCATTTCGGGGCTTTTATTGCAAACTGCTGCGCTGTGTGTATTTCCCAGAAGGTCTGCTGAGGCACTTAGACTGCACCAGGATGTTGGGGCTGATCGTGTGAGTCTTTAGATTGGTTTTGAGAAACCACACGAGGAAGCAAGGAACACACAATGTCTACTCATCAATATTGAAGGTTCCCTTTCAGGGATGGTTTAACAGCAACAAACATTTGTCTGCTGTCACACACTTACTCGTGTCAGAACGAATGAGTATTTGTACACCACTGATAGATTTCTTTTTGAACTCCTCAGCTGTGTCCTCCATGTTAAGGATGCACACATACAAACATTCCTGATCAATTTTTCAAGTGTAGAAAAAGGAGGTTTTTAATTTCAATACAGCTAGACGGGGGATACATTATTGCTTTGACTGTACACTGTGTCCCTTCTCCTTCTGATGCAGTTATCGATAAACTGACTAATTAATTGAGCGTTAATGCTTTGACTTGCAGGAGCCGCTATAATGTGACTCCTTGTGGTTGCAAATGGATTAGGATGAAGATAGCAAAAGTGAAAAGACTTCATGTTCTTCTGTGACACAGTTGTGTCGTGACTGTGCTATACAACGAGCTACGATTACCACCTCTAAGCACAAATTTATTATCGGAGTCTGAAGACTGTTTAAAATTAATAAGAGGGCTTGCAGGTGGTTCAGGTGTACAAAAGCTCCACCATCATGACTGTCAGAATAACATGCCAGCAGAGAGAAAAGGAATTTTCAAAATTTAGTGTGCATGATTTTTGATGGTTCTCTGCTTTTGATTCCCTTTCCTTCTCCTTATGTCCTGCAGTACTTCCGTATAGAGATGTCTGCTATCACTACTGTCTAATGAGAGTGACCATGAAAGAGGCAGGGAGGAAAAAAAAAAAAGAAGGGAGACAGGATGTAGTGTTGCCCACACAGCTCCAGTGGCAGCTGGCTAGCTTAGGAGCTTGATAATCTCCTCTCTCATTCCCTCTGGTCCCCAAATGCTCGATCAGGCGTCATGAGTCCACACACTGTGCTGCTCCAGCACACAGCACCCTTTTTAAAGAAATGTTACATGACAGTGTCATTTCAAAAAGGCTTACATATTTATATAAAAAAGGAAATCGAAAGTAGATGAAATGATGGGAAAAGGTTGAGGCATTTTTAGAAATCAGGACTGTTTATTGGACAGAAGTTAAACCCCTGGTCGGCCTAAAGAATGACTACAAAGGCGGCGCTAGCAGCAGCGAGTTGACGATGAGGCTGGGAACAAAAGTAGCCATCATCACCTCTTTTTCATGAACAGGACGGAAGGGAGAGAAGTAAATACAGAGAGACTAACTTTGACCCAGGAGTCGCTCTAACAGCCTCAAGGCCACAATAAGATGAGAGGCTGGGCTGAGTCATGTTTAATCCCTGATTGGTTGGAGTAGGCGAGCTGCTTCCTGTGATTCTTTGCCTGCTCTTTTTTTTCTCTCCCTGTGGTTTGGGTCAGAGCTTCAGAGCGCGTTGGCTGGAGGCGGCCTGTGATTGTGTGAGGACATAACCAATATTATGTGTGATAACTCCTATGCATGCTTTATAAATGAAGTTTTTTGTGTATTTTCAAGCTTTATTATATTGACTGTTATTAAAATCTATGTAGATGCAGGTGTACAGGTGTT